GGATTGGAGACTCCATGGTTAGGTTACTTCTTTCTTTTTGTTTTTAAGAAAAAAAAAAAAAAAAGGAAGAAGAAAATAAAAATAAAAAAAGAAAAAAAAAAGGGGGGACTGGGGAGGGATAGTTCCTAGGAGGAATGAAAGGGCCAGAAATCCCCCTCCATGCCCAAGAGGACCTCAGCACCGCAAGTAGCACAGATGCAGCATGGAACCCGTGCCATACCCTACCCTTCATGCCAGTAAACCAGCAATCCGGGATAGCAACCTCACATCTGCCGAGCTACCTCGGTGGACAAAAGAGAGGGCGGCCGGATATCCGCCACAAAGCATACCTCCTTCGGCCACCACCCCCGGAATCCAAAAGGTGACTTCCAGAGATACACCAGTCGCCCGAAAGACACCCAAAGCCACCCTCCGGGATACAGGAGAGGGATCGGGACATCCCCAGGCGATCCAGATTCCACGGCAAACTATGCCACCGCCAAGAACCTCAACGGAATGGGATGGACCCCGGTACCCTTTCCCCTACCTAGGAACTAGTGTGCCTGTGGGAAAAATCCCAAAGGCCAAAAAAGGAAGGGTAAAAGGGAGGGGTGGGGAGGGGGAGGAGGAGGAGGAGGAAAGGAAAAAGAGGAGGATGGGGAGCATGGGATAGGGATTGGGGGGTAATTAGGTTCGGTCTGAGGAAGGAGACCGACAGGTCTAATTCCTCAGACCAAGAGCCTCTTCACCACGCCAAGGAGCCCCCCCTTGAAGAGGAAAACATGCTGTAAATCTTGTAATGATATCAAAACAAAACTTGTGTAGTGATACTCTTTCTTAAAATACAATAATTATAAAAACTTACAATAAACTCTATTCACTTTTAACTAATGTGGTGGTTTTACATTTTACAAAATTTTAAGAAATATTCAAGTAAAACAAGCTGACCTGAAGAAAAAAAAATTAATATTAACCTAACTGCATGTAATATATATTTTTAAAGGGGAGTGAAAGTTTTGTTTGAAAATGTACATGATCAAAGCGAGAGTAAACCTTTGTTCCATATAAATTTCATTACATTAGTTGGCAACTCCATAAATGTGTGTTTACTATGTAGGAAGAAAAACATTTAAATTTATTACAATGAACTTAAAATGCAGCCAATTACTGCCACCAAACCCACATCATATATTTAACGTATTGATTTTAAAGCTATTACAAGGCTAATTTCTTGCTCTTAACCAAGAAAAAATTTTTAATCGGCAAGATTATGATTATAGATATATTTACAATTATTAATACTAACCACAGTAAACATATATACTAAATAATGTGTCAATACAAGAATATCATATGCAATAATCAATTGACTGTTTTTGCTTAATAAACCCGTCTTGTCACTGAATATCTTGTTTTCATTGAAAGCAAGTAAATTTGTTCATTCTACAAAAATTTCCTGCCAAAATAAAACTGCATTTTGTTTATATAAAATGAAAAATTATCAAGAAAAATATAACAGTTTGATGGTCAGTTGGTTATGAAATGTGTTCACTGCTGAGTGAGGAAAGCTGATAAAAAAATTCAAAAGGAGACTAGTGTTCTGATACAATGTCTTGTAGACAATGTCCTACTGACACATGGGTGCTTATACAGTACTGTATCTGACATTCTAATTACAGCAAATATAAATGCACAAGCATACACCAACACCATCGGCAGTTGCAGAAAGAAGATGGCCAGATTAACTACTAAATTTATTGGAATCATTGCTATATTAAGTTTTGTTTGGGTATCAATAGTGTGTTAATCAAATTTTTAAGGAAGAAATCTTAGTTTGTATGAAGTGAATTACAGACACTATTTAAAAACAAAACAAAAAAATATAGTAATTCTTCCCACTCTACAGACACATCGTATCTTACACCATAGATATTTATTCATGCACAAAGTTGTGCCAAATTTACTGCAAGGGGGGAAAAAGAACAAGCAAACATCACTAAGCTAAAGCTACTTTATCCTAAGCCAAAGATATTTTCAACTGATTAGATATACTATATTGTCTGTAATTAAAATGTTTCAGAAAGTTTTGCAAAGCTTTCAGTTCACATTTCCACACACAATGTGATAGCTCAACATTACAGCTAATAATGCACTGAGAAACCCTTCTTCAACATACTTACCAAATAAGGATTCTTATCAAACTAATGCATTTTCTACCAGTGCAAAATGGAATCTAAAATAACTTAGAGCTGTAGGAATATGAGAAAGAGTTCTGTATCTATGATTGTAAAGTGTATAGTTAGCAATGGCAATACTAAACCATTTACAAATATAATTAGCTCATTGATATAAATTTTTATCTTGAAGATTCTAACAAGCATTCAACCGTGTCACATTTTATATGCCATAAAATTTTTCTTGCAACTATACAAGCTAATACTATTGTGAAAAAGTATGCTGTTAGATTATGGTAGTAATCCAAATCAGACATATCTGTCAAGCCTTTTGATTGCTACAGATATGTATATACAGTATTACCACACTTAATAATCAAAATTATTACAGTGTTCAAAAATGATTCTGCACAACATCTGAGTAACACGTTAGTTTGTTTACTGAATGATCAATAGTTACAAAAGAACTTTATAATTTTCTGTACATATCATTAGATATAAGGTATACACTACTTTCAAATTGATGAACACATCATGTGTAGCACAGGCTTTTCAATGTATTATAGGGATTTAACAATGGAAGACAGTGGAGCCAATAGAATAATTAATGAGTAACAGCACAGGTAGGTAGGACCCATTAGTGGAAGTAGATTATGTTCATAGGGTGGGCCAGAGGTTAGCAAGAGAGTTGCTGATGATCCTCTGTACAAGATTCTATGGTACTGCTGACTTGCTATTTTTTTTTTTTTAACATGCCAGTCCCCTCCCACAGAGACAAGGTGATGAGAAAAAAAAAAAAAACACTGACCATCAATCATTCAATTTCTGTGTTGCCAGGAGCATGCTGACATAACAGATCAGATGACCCTCTGAACTGCAACATCCTTACCTATCCTTCAGTGGGCAGTCACTGCACTTTCTACCTCAAGGACCCAAGTCCGGCTACCCAGTTTTCCCAAACCCCTAAACACCTCAACAACCCATCAAGTCAAAAAACAACTTGTCTCAATCCAATCTAACGTGATCAAGCACATCTGTTGAATGTTCAAGTTCCTAGCATCCAAACCTCTTCTACCCCCCTCCCCTCTCCTCCCCCTCCCCTCCCCTCCCCCCTCCTCTCCTCTCCTCTCCTCCCCTCCCCTCTCCTCCCCTCTCCTCTCCTCTCCTCTCCTCTCCTCTCCTCTCCTCCTCCTCTCCTCCCTCTCCTCCCCTCTCCTCTCCTCCCCTCCCTCCTCCCTCCCCTCTCCTCCCCTCCCTCCCCTCTCCTCCCCTCTCCTCCCCTCTCCTCCCTCTCCTCCCTCCCCTCCCTCCCTCTCCTCCCCTCTCCTCCCTCTCCCCTCCCCCCCCCTCCCTCCAACCCATCCCATACCCTTTCCCCTCCATCCTATTTTGCTCAATCCTCTGCAAATGTCCACATCACTTCAACCCTCCTCAGCTCTTTGAATGCCTCTAAACTAACTGTATTTATCTGACACAGCAACGTGGAATTTTGGTACATAGTACATCTTCAATTCCATTGCTAACATCTGGCTTCCCCTCTGGTCATGATTTACTCCCACTAGTAGGTCCTGCCAATCTGTGACATCTACAACTATTGGTACTCACTGTCCCTTCTACTGGCTCCACTATAAGCTTTATTCATCATATCCCTGCATTAGATTGAAAATGGCTGCTGTATAGGGATAATGTTTCTCCAGTAATAATACCCAGGTACTGCATAAGTGCCTTGTCAATTTTGTGTGTTACAAACAAGAAGGACATGTAAATAAACATTTCATAAAATTTAGTCCTAATACATTGTTCATTCCAACGATTCACAGGGTACAACATACATAAACTGAGGCACATGTTAGGCAAGGTTATTGAAGTCAGGTGTGAGCACAAAACAGGTCTGGAATAAGCAGTAGTTAGCCAAGGTTAAGCCTCATGGGGGCGATATCACCTGATAGTTGTGTTACAATGTGGGTGTGGTGAAGCATGGTTGATAATCACAATGCCCACACTGCAACATGGCTATTAGGTGACCTTATTCCCACGAGGCTTGATCTGACCCAAGAATTTTTATTCATGAATTATCTTACACTCACCTGACCCAAATGTGTAACTCACATGTTCTTTGGCCATTAGGTGGTGTTTCTTGTATCCTGTATATCACTGGAGTAAACAAGGTCCCAGGACCAAAACACCTCCATGAAAATGTGCGAAGCATTTGATCACATGTCTTTTTCCTTAATTTGTCAATATCATATACCTGATAGCTATCTGTATCAATAATACTGCCAATAATTATCAGTTCAAATTGATTTGAACAAAGTTCATAAAGAATGCATCTATTTCTCTAAATTCCATCATACAAATTAAGACAGAACACTCCATTAGACCTGTCTAACACACTATTGGAAAGACTGGCAGTTTTGTGCATGCCTGAATGTGTTTAGCAAGCAGTGCAGAAGAACAATGCTATTCTATTAATCAACACACACTAGCCTGGATAAGTGAATAGCATTGATACTTCCTTTTTGCTCTATACTCTTATCAACAAATTATGCTATGAAAGTATAAATTGAATAATTTCATGTAAATCATCTTGCTGGTCAATGTGGACTCCATTTACAGGTTAGAGAATGTAACTAATAAAGCACTCTGACTACATATGCTGTGTGCACAACCAGTCCAGTTTCCTGGACATAATGTTTACTTTGGGACGGCACATTTCAAGGCTTCCAGCAAGAACAATGATGAGAATAATTACTGTGTGTATAAAACTTGCAACAAAAGTAGCGAGTACTTTAGCCATGCTTCAGTTATTACATGAGAACTTTTTTTTTTTTTTTTTTTTTTTTGGGGGGGGGGGGGGGGAAAGGGGGCCATTAGAAACCACAATTGTTAAAATGTCCCATTGTTTTTTCTTTAGGCATCTCATTCATTTTATATTCATAGATAAAGGATGCACATTACACTTCATTTCAATGGCTTAAAATGTGCACTTAAGTAGCTTTCAAGATCTGCAATTCTGTACATGCTCAGTAACTTTCTAATTTATGTAGAGGGGTTCTTCAGTTTTCCTGTAAGTAAGGATACAGTTCTGCATGTGTATTTACTATTTAGTCATTTTTATTTGTTCACAGATCATTACTTTCTACAGAGTACCATGTTCAGATATTTCTGCTAGATGCTGTTTATCTCTGGTAAGAGAACATCAAAACAGTCTTCTTGACTTGCCCTCTAGTAGACTTTCTTCAGTGCAGACACAAACCACTGGAAGCAAGACAAAATAAAAATGAAGTATTATACAAAAAATAAGTTGTCACTATACAAGTGTGCTACAGCTCTACAAAGTGTGCTACAGCTCTACAAAGTGTGCTACAGTTCTACAAAGTGTGCTACAGTTCTACAAAGTGTGCTACAGCTCTACAAAGTGTGCTACAGTTCTACAAAGTGTGCTACAGTTCTACAAAGTGTGCTACAGTTCTACAAAGTGTGCTACAGTTCTACAGAGTGTGCTACAGTTCTACAGATCATAGTCTGAAAGGGAGGGGCCCATTTGATATATTCAGCAGAATCGATACAAATCAACAACCCTTTCCATTTTTGAACAAGACTTGCAAAACCTGGGCAGCTTTAGTGAAATGGTTTGCCCACCAAGAGTTTACTCAATTTAATGCAGACACTTCAGAACAGACTTTGTTAGTGGATCCATGTCTACAAGGTCAAATGGCAGGGGATGCTAGTAGTAGTAGTTCAAATTCAGGTGGTCCAGAGATTCAGCAACTGAGTTGGAAACTGGAGAATATTTCTACAACTTTCTTGCTAAATCTCTGGTCCATCACTTAGGACTGAAATCCTTCCACTAGTGGCCCCCATCCACATATGAACACTCCCACAACTGCTGAATCGCTCTGCTTCTTCCACTGGCTCCACTATAAAAGGCTTCATGCTTATATTTCTAATAGAGTTATTATAAAGCCTCTGGTGGGCAAAGGTATCATTAACCCCTTCAGGGTCCAAGGCCAAAATCTGAAGTGGTGCTCCAGTGTCCAAGAAATTTTGAAAAAAAAAAAAAAAAAAAAAAAAAAAAAAAAAAAAAAAAAAAAAAAAAAAAAAAAAAAAAAAAAAAAAAATTCTTACAGAATTAAAGAGTATATTTTTGTGAAGGTAATAAGACAAAAAAAAATTTTCTGATCAGTACTTACCGAGATACAGCGGCAGGAAGCTGACCCAAAATGACCGGGTGGCAGCAACATCAGTGACTTTCGCAAAATCTCATTTTTTTATTTTACGTTTTTTATACTTTCTTTTCTTTTCTAATTTTTTTCTTTTTTCTAATAACATTTGTGGCCTGTGAGACCAGTATAATGTATATTGTTTAAGTGTACACTCATTGTATTCAACACAATAACTGCACTAATTTGTTTATCATTATATTGCTTACAAAACTTGTTTACAAGTTTATTGTAAACAAAATGATGAAGCTATTAGTGGGGTTATTGTGTTGAATACAATGGTACCATATAGTATCATATGGTACAATGGTGTCATAGGATGCAATGGTACCATATAGTACAATGACACCATATGATACAATGGTACCATATGGAAATATGGAAAATGGCAATGATACATGGTACCATATGATACAATGGTACCATATACAATGGTACTGTATGGTACAATGGCACCATTTGGTACAATGGTACCATATGATACAACAGTACCATATGGTGCAGTTGTACCTTATGGTACCATATGGTACCATATGATGCAATGGTACCATATGGTACATTGTACCATACAGTACAATGATACCATATTGCAACTGTACCATATGGTACAATGCAATATGTAATGGTACCATATGGTACATTGTACCATACAGTACAATACCATATTGCAATTGTACCATATGGTACAATGTCATCATATGATAATGGTACCATATGGTACAATGGCACATGATACAATGGTACCATATGATACAATGGTACCATATGGTACAATGGCACCATTTGGTACAATGGTACTATATGATACAATGGTACCATATGGTGCAATGGTACCTTATGGTACCATATGGTACCATATGATGCAATGGTACCATATGGTACATTGTACCATACAGTACAGTGATACCATATGGTTCATTGTACCATATGGAACTGTTGTTTTTCAACACAAAACACTAATATTTTCATTATTATTTTGTTTACAATAGTTGTTTACAACAAAAATATGCAAAAATGTTGTATATTAGTAATGTTCTATTATATACAGTGGACCCCCGCATAACGATCACCTCCGAATGCGACCAATTATGTAAGTGTATTTATGTAAGTGCGTTTGTACGTGTATGTTTGGGGGTCTGAAATGGACTAATCTACTTCACAATATTCCTTATGGGAACAAATTCGGTCAGTACTGGCACCTGAACATACTTCTGGAGTGAAAAAATATCGTTAATCGGGGGTCCACTGTATTTACAAGTGTACAGGAACTTGATGTGTTCCTTGAGGTGGATGACAAAGCACTTTGTCTCGGAAACTGAAGAGTCAGTAGCTAGCTTGTGTCGCCACTCACTCAGTCTTGGCTGGTGTCTCATGCCACTAACACCTACTGACCATATGGTACACGGTATCATATGTTACAGGGTACCATATGGTACATTGTACTATATGGTATAGGATACCATGCAGTACAGGATAACATTTGATGCAGGGTACCATATGGTGCAGGGTACCCTATGGTCGGGGACCCTACATACAGGACACCATATGGTACAGATACAGGGATAACCATGGAAATAAGTCACCCTGACTTTTTTGGGTTATCCTAGGATTTTATACGTATGCTGCTATGTATGATAATCTATGTAATTATATTTCTGTACACCTGAATAAAGTTACTCAAGTGCATGTGGCATCATAAGTAAGTTTATTTAGGTATACACAAATAAAGTTACATAGAATATCATACTTAGCAGCACATGTTTGGAGAACCTAGGATAACCCAAAAAAGTCAGACAGACTTATTTCCATTAGGGTCCCTGTACCATATGGTATAATGTACCATATGGTACAATGTACTATATGGTACATTGTACCATATGGTACCATTCTACCATATGGCACCATTGTACCATATAGTACCATTGTACCATATGGCATAATGGTGCCATATGATTCAAAACCATAGAATTCGTCATCTCCACTTCCATCAGTCTTAGAACTGTAAGTTGTGAAGAGGAGAGTCAGAATTCGCTGGAAGAGTGAGTGGGGAGTGAGAGCTTCCTTGCCGCCAGGCACAATGAACAAAGCTACTTTACTGGCATTCCCACAATGCCATGCGGGCGTCCAGATTTTTTCTATGGTGTGCACACTGACTACCCAGACCCATTCTCTCAGATGTAGGCCTACCAGCCTTCTCGCGCTAAATTTGACGCCGCTAGAATTTTGGCATAGATCTACGGTTTGGACCCTGAACATAAAGCCGTAGATCTACGGGACAGACCCTAAATGGGTTAAAGGTAACCAAATGTAAAGTAAGTTTATTTCTTGTGATATTACATGGTATTACATGACACATTATTTAATATATGAAAAAATCCCATGGTTATACACTGCATTTCAGAAAAAAACTAAAGAACACACAAGCATTAAACTTTTTTTTTTTTAACACACTTGCCATCTCCCACCAAGGTTGGGTGATGTAAAAAAAGAAAAAAAAACTTTCACCATCACTCACTCCATCACTGTCTTCCAAGAGGCACACCAATCCTACAGTTCAGATAAACCATAACACAGGTGGGGCTTGAATCTGCAGTCACAGAGTCGTAAAACTCCAGACCGACATGTTATCCACTGGGAAAGCTGGCTACAAAAAGATTCATCCAACTAGATATATTTATACACAATAAGAAGGTTAGCACAGGCACCACTGTGACCACAAATGCAAGTTTTTACTGACGAATCTCCCACCCAGTAGATAATGCGTCGGTCTGCAGTTTTACAACTCTGACCGCGGGTTCAAGCCCCACCCATGGTATGGTTTGTTTACAATTCTGTCACTATGATTTCATGAGTCATGGCACAGTTCAGATGCCCTTCCACACTGCAAGTATCCCCACCCCTTTTTCAGAGTGCAGGCACTGTACTTTCTACCTCCAGGACAAGTCCGACTAACCTATTTCCCCGAATCCCTGCATAAATGTTACCCTCCTCACATCCCAACAGCATGTAAAGGCATAAAAACCATTTGCCTCCACTCACTCCTATCTAACTCTCACACACATGCCTGCTGGATGCCCAAGCCTCACATACAAAACCTCCTCCATCTATTCCTAGGGTGACCCCTACTCCCTCCTCCCTCTCACTACAGATTTATACACCCTCCAAGTTATCCTATTTTGTTCCATCCTCTCTAAATGTCAAAACCACCTTAACCCCTCTTCAGCCCACTGGATAATACTTTTAGTAACCTGTACTTTAATCTCCAAACTACAAATTCTCTTCATAATATTTATACCACACTTTGCCCTCCAATATACATCTCCACTGCCTCCAGTCTCCTCAGTGCACATTCACAACCCATGCTTCACACCCATATAAGAGTGTTGGTACCACTATACTTTCATACATTCCCTTTTTGCCTCCATGGATAATGTTCTTTGTCTCCACAGATGCCCCAGTGCACCACCCACCTGTATTCCCCTCATAAATTCTATGGTTACCTCATGTGAATGATAGGAGTGAACTGATCTGCTGACAAGTCCACTCCCTAACATCTAAACACATTCACTTCCTCTATACTCCCTTCTTCCAATCTGATATCTAACATCATGGCTCGTGAAATTGTAATAACATGATTGCAAGCAAATCAGGGAATGGGTGAGGCTTCAACTCAACAAACAAGTCATAAAACTCACAAGTCATTGCATTAATCACTTGGTTAATGGTTAATGGACTGGCCTGAGAGTTTAAAGACTTGCTTGTAATGAGTTCAAGATCTACCTGTTCTGTGATTTATCCAATCTTTCATTATCTAAATTATTTTGTTACCCTCATCACCTCGCTCTTTCCTACATTCACTTTTAATTTCCTCCTTTTTACATACCCTCCTAAATTTATCCACCAACCTTTGCAACTTCTTGGAATCTCCCAAAATCACGGTGTCATTGGCAAAAAGAACATGACAACTCCCTCTTTGTATTAGATACTATATATTTTAATCCTGGACCTCTCCAGCACCCTAGCACTCACTTGTTT